GATAAATGGCGCCCAAGTATGAAATCCCTCCCAAACCGACCGCTCCGGTTGTTGTTCCCAGCGTTGGTCCCACATTCGCTCGCTCACCGCTTCTTGTTGTACCTCACCGTCGCCACGCAGCCACCAAGTCGCCAGAGTCCGTAAATCTGTGTTCTCTTCCTTGTTCTCCTCCTCCTTCTTCTTCTTGGGGTTAAGGCTCACCTTCGTGCACGATGGTGGCACCTGTGATCGACACAGCACTAAAGCAAAACACGAGGCCAGCCACTGGCCGCACACCACCGCCACACCGCGAAAAAGGCGAGCACGCTACGCCGCCGACACCGTGGCCGCCAAGGAGGGACCACATGATAAAATCAGCGAACAACCTTAGGAAACTGGTGAAGAAAACAGAAGACAAAAAAGACAGGAAGGACGCATCGTGGGCATGAGGAGGGACCTCATATACCCACTCATACCCACGACGCTTAAAGTCCCTCTATAGACGCTTTACACACGCTCCAAATTACAGGCGCCATTGCTGACCTTCTCTTGTCTTACCGAGATGCCGAGCAACTGACACGGTAGTTGACGATCCTCTACAAAGGCCGATGCTTTAGAAAAGGACACAGTTGAATCTAGGATGGCAATAACTTGGCCTGCTATGGTAATGATGAAGTGAAATAAACGGAGCAAGAGGAAACAAAAACTGAAGGTCAGTTATGGCGGCGTCCATGCACAGCTGCTGCAAAGCGTCTATAGACCCTTTCCGAAATTCAGTGCCATCTGGTGGTTCGTAAACCAGTTTAGGTTTTGCCATATCAATGGCGGAAATGAACTTGTATCGGCACTGTCACTTTCGCAAGTCAACGGCACGCGAGGAATTGTTCAGTGTGAGCTCTTTCTGGATCACTTTCAGTTCGATGGTGACCAAGAACCAGCAATCAGAACAAAGCTAGAACCCACTCGGATGCCTCGAGAAAATTCTATACGCCGAAGTTCTTCAAAGCTGATTGTGTGCCTCCCACAGATCGACTGAATCTGAGTTATTAGAAATAAACGCTTACGTAGCTCTTGTGTTCTATTCCTACGTTGTGTCGTACTGACCCCCCGAAAGTACAGGCCTCGCATCATCCGCTTAGGAGCATCTTCAAAATCTTCCTTTATCAGTGACTAGTAGGCCGCCATTGGTATGGCACTGATGCTGTTCCACAGATGATGATAGTGATCAAAGTGGCCAGACTGAATTTCGGGAAGGGTAACGATGCTCATACCTCAGCGCCCTCAGCGGCGGTGGAGCGGAACTAACTACTCCTGGTTCGAGGCTAACTCCGAACACGATCAGGGCCGGTTTTCTCGAAGCGAGGGTAAACCCATTTTGGTAAACCACGGTGCCTAGGAAGGGAAAAGTACCTAGGTACTGTAATAAACGGCTGGATATAGAACAATAATTATTTTTGATTGGGCAATAAGATGCGCCATCTATCGGTGAAACAAGCCAGTCATTTTGTTTATCCTCTCTTTCCGCTGGTTGTCATCGATCTAGTATGGTATTTTAAGTCAAAATATAGTAATGTTGTACTTGAAGACCAATTGATTTGCTTCCGATGGTACGAAGAAATTTTAGCTACTATGCTAGAGTTCGTCGACGAATATTCGAAAATGTAAGAAACATTTCCTTCAATATGTTTCGCCATAAACAACGCATAACTTTCCCGTGTTTCTTCCAGTCTGGCAACGCCGGTGCTGTAGTCTCGTTTTCGTTCCTTGCGACGCACGTTTCTGCGATTCCTGCTGTCTGTCTATGCTGGAACGCCAACTACATGATGTAGAAAACTGCATCGGGCACTGATTGGCTTTTCTCTCGGGTCACGTGACATGACGTTGAAATGTAGTTTTTCCCTATGCAGTTCGAGCTATGTTCGTAAAATGATGCAGTTAGCGGTGACGTCAAAATGTCGTCACGATGCATTTTGACGATGCAGTTAACTGAGTGGTCGAGGCGAAGCCAGAGATCAATCTGCATCGTAAAAGATGGCGACCCTAACATATGCATCTCTACTGTTGGGTTCGCCAGCGGATCGAGTTTTTAAAGATCACCGGGATGCTTTCGAGACGAGCGATGCGAGGTTTGTGGGCGAATACCGGCTGACCAAAGGGGTGGCTCGCTGGCTGTGCAACAGCTTCGCGGAAAGCTCCAGCGTTGTTGTGAAGGGCCCCATGTGCTGACGGTCGAACAACAAGTCCTCGCAGCTCTACGCTCTTACGCCGCTGGCGGCTTCCAGGGAACCGTCGGGAGCGACGAAAACATTGGTGTTCTCCAGTACTCTGTGAGTCACGTACTTGGTGATGTCACCAACGCTATCATCGATTGCCTCGGCTCGAAGTGGCTGTGTTTCCAACAAACTCAAGCAGAGAAGGCGCTCACAAAAAGGAAGTTCTTCGAGCGATGCAAGTTCAGCGGCGTCATCAATAAATATTCTAAATACTCTTACACGAATTAATACGATTGTGTTTTCATTTGAGTGCACCCCATATAAGCGATTTGGCTGAGCGAAAAGCCAAGCAAGCAACGGTAACAGGCTTAAGTTGAGCTAGTTCATTCATACTTCAGGTAGAGAGAGAGAGATATATGCTTTATCTTAAAGCAACTACTTCAGGTCAGGCCAGCTGAACTAGAGTAAACATTCATATAAAGAAAAGACCATACACACCGTGGGACTAACAACTGATTTTCTTCTTCCCCCTCATCTACTACGAGCCCAACTTGAGGGAAATATTCTCTTTTCTTCTTTTTTGCTTCCTACTTCACCGAAAATTTAACCCCCGAAGGAACATTTTGTTCTTTCTCGTGCAGCACGAGAGAAGTTGCACTAACGCAGTCAAACATAGTCAAAACGTAAAATTTGTCGTTACTTGTTTATACAGCAGGAGGTTAGTCTGCCTGAACATGGCGACATTGTTACCACCTGTAGATAAGCAATTTAGCCAGTGCAGTACGACTGCTAGCCCGGGGTCTTTAACGTGCATCACGCAGTACACGACCGCACGCCGGGACGATGCTCATCCAGCAGATCGAAACGAGCAGGAGCGGGGATTGAACCCACGATCCCTGGGTTCTGCAGCGCGAGCTTTCGCTCCACGTGCTCCGAGCTGGTGTGCGCTAGCCTACTCGGCAATTCTCCGAAATTCCCTGTAGGGAAAAAAAGAACGATGTAGTTTCAACTCAATCGCCACTGTTCGGCGACGTCACCGGACACGTCACGGTGCAGTTCTCTTCCGATGTAGTTTCTTGGTGATGGGGATTAGGCTCCTCCCACCGGCGACGTCACGATGCAGTTTCTCCACCGCTTTTTCCAGCATAGACAGACTGATCTCAACTGTTTGCCCTCTCTTCCGTTTGCCCAACCGATTCACCGGAGACGAGAAGCTAAGCTTCTCGTCACCGTTGAATTGCTGGCCACCGGGGATATGTAGAAACCTCAATGCTGTCGGCATACTGTCGGCGCACTGTGAACAAAAAAACAGTACAATTAGGGAGTTTTAGAATAACGTGCGCAATCTTAGCGCACGCTAGCGCTGTTCATCCGGAACGAAGACTTTATTGAGGATAACCCCCTTTCTCCGCAAAGTAATCGCTGCTCACGAGTTGGCGTGCATAGTGTAACAAATTAAACGTCTTAGTATAAATATGTACCAACACTCGTTCGCAAAACATTTTTTTACTCACCATAAAAACACTTGCAAGGCTTATGTACCGTCATATGTCTTGGATCCCGGACTGCTGAAGAGTGATGCGTTCGCGGAAGGCTGCCGTCGGTTAGTTCAGTAGTACCTCTGAACAATCGCTTTGCTTGACGTGCTAATAGGTTGATGGTGAGTCATTAATATAACAGCCAGATCGAAATGAATGTTCAGCAGAACCAAGCAGAACTATTAGCCCTCATTAAGCGACGCCGCGGCCATTTCGCTTCTAGTTACTGAATCTCCCTCGGCGCCCCTGCTCTCCTAGTCACGTGACCTGGAATTCCCCCTTCTAGGGACAATAGTTAACTTTAAACCACGGTTCGTGTTCGAGAAAACGGGCCCTGGTCGCTCGCTCTCCGGGGGAAGGGCGGACAGGGTCATCATCTAAATGTATTTCTTCTGCCGTGCCCGGTTGTCGAAAGCGTCGCTGTGGTCCGCCTTTCACGACTGGCCGAATGATGCCTATGACGTCAGCAAAGGATTTCTCATCGGCAGAAATAAAATTAATGGAAGAATTTCAGTTTTCACTGTGTTGGCAGTGTTTCATTCATAGCTCAATGATTTCAAGCTTCCACCATGCTCATTGCAAACACCATCGAACTTGTTGTTCGCAAGGCAATGACGTCACTAGAGCGAACCATAGGAAGGCGCCACCAAAACACCTCGCCGCTGATAGGCGATTGCAAACAGGGTATCTGGCGGCCGCCATGTTCCTCCTCGCGTTGCAAGCACGGGCAATTTCAGGCCTGCCAAAGCTATCCGCGCGTGCATGCAGAAGCGTGCTTGCACGCTTGGGGCACAAGTATGAACGTTTGCAAACGTTTGCAGTGTGCAATCGTCTATAAGCAAAGAACTTAACAAGGCTACGACTTCGCGCCTATGATCGACGAACATACAGTCGTGACCGCAATATTTCTGATACGTAAGGTTAAGCGCTTCTTAATCAGTGTGGCATAACGGCTTTAATTGGTATTCAAGTATATAATATTTAAGATTTATGAATTCTGCATGTAATAAAAAAAAATTAAAACTTTAAAAAAAAAGGGGGGGGGGCATGTAATCAGCCTTTTTTCCTTTCCCCTTCTTCAAACCTTAATTCAAATATAGTATACAACATGGCGTCGCATTGCCCTAAAGAACTTCCACACTTCGAAGCAGCTCGGCAAAACTATAGCATAAAATGTCACAAGCATCGGCAATACTTGTACACTCTTGAACAACAGTATTGTTCACTCTTCGTGTATGACGAGCAGCGTCTAAGCGGCGTTCCAGTGGAATCAGTGGAAATCGCAGCGGTTCCTCGGGTTCAGCGGAGCCTCCCGGCGACAGTGAAACGCTTCCGCGAAGTGATCCAAGTTGGCGGCCGGTAGGTCGCAGCGCAGGTACACCGGCGTGTAGATTCTTGTGACGCTCACGCCTACCCTCTCCTTCCCACAGAAGATCAAGCAGCCGCTGATAAAAAACAACTGCTCCGGAGAGTAGCCGAGCATGCCCGCACCCTTGGAGGCAAGCCGCTCGTACACGAGGTAAGCCTTCTCTACACCAGCGCTGTCGGCGAATGCTTCCGACAGGGAGCTTTTTGCCCAGCTCTCGCTACCCGTCGCCTTGGACACCTTGTCTTCGACGCACTGCAGCTTGTTTTCGAAGGCCCGCCAGGAGTTGTTGCTGTACCAGTCGTGGACCTCGCCCGTCCTGGACACGTGGCTGTAGAGTCTGTCGAAAGCGTGCGTGAGCTCGTGTCCCAAGACACGACCGATGCCGCCGTAGTCGACGGCGGCCGGTGCGGACTCGACAACGAACGGCGGGAACAAGATGCCACCTGGAATGATCATAAGGTGCAGCATCGGAAGGTAGTAAGCGTTGGTGTCGATCATTGAGATCGCGATCGCTTCGCGGCGGACAGGGACCCCGGTGCCGTTGACCAGAAGCCGCTTGCGGGCCTGGAGGGCGTTCCGCCTGGTCTCCAGGTAGCCCTCGACGAAGGACGTCCCGTTGAAGGGTGACACAAACTCGTACGCGACGTCGAGGTTCTCCCACGTCGAGAGGTGGTCAGGTAAGTTGACCACGTCTACAACGGACTCGACGCGTTCTCTGGCGCCCTTCGCCGTGTAAAGGTCCATCCAGGACGTTACCTCGAAGGACTTCTTAGTGGCCTCGCGGATTTTGGACATCATCTTTGAGGTCGCGTTGGTCGCCCCTGCCGGCTGGATGTCGTCAAACACGAACCGGGCCAGTGGGAAGGGCAAAAGCTCGTTGACGAGGCCGAGACAGCCCGCGCTCGCCGACAGGACGTCTGACCTGAAAGAACAGTCGATCTGGGAATAGGACGTGCCGAAAGAGAGCTTCTCAACAATGGCCCAACCGACGGCCAGCATAAGGTCCACCGTTGTAGCCTCCTGGCGCAGGGCGTCCTTAAGGATAAGGGGTAGTGACGCGTCCACCAGCAGAACGTCCTCGTCGAGATCCACCTGCCTGTCATCGTCCAGGTGGTTGTTGATGGCGGTCAGCCATTGGCTGGCGTTCAAGGTCGGGGACGTTAGGTTCCCGATGCGCTCGAATTTTACGTAGTGGTGTAAGAGGCGTCGAGTGCGTTCAGCGAGGACCTTAACAACCAGGATTTGGGTGATGCCCGAGAATATGCGGCGCGCTACCATCGAGGCGGAGATCTCGGAGTCTTTCGGCATTGCAACTTCGACGCACCTTTTGATGATGGCGGGATTCAGCGCCGAATTTCCGAAAGGAGACGCTCTCGTGCCGAGTACGAGTGCGTACCGGCTGTCCGTCTTCAGGTAGGGCATCGGCTCGATCGTGAACACGTACCCAAGACCGTAATCAAGCGACAGGGCTACGATGGCGTCGAGGGCGTCGAAATTTTGCGGCAGCTTCAGCGAGGGCCACTCAAATGACAACCTCTTGAAGACGTCCCCGATGACGTGGAGATGTTCTGTCCTCCCGGCGAGGACCTCCTGGCACTTTCGGAAGGCCGCCACCGTCTTGTCTCTTATGGAACTCGGAGAGTGGGCCAGAGAAGCGGCTTCGAGGTATCTGTACAGCTGCACCCTGACCTTCTTGCCGACGAGTGCGAACTGGTTTTCGAATCCCGGATGGTTCAGCTTCCAGAAGGCGCACGTGTGGTCGTACAGGCTGTCGCAAGGTTCCCGGTTGACATCCATGGTGCTTCCAAGCTCGAAAGCGTAGTCGAAGCACTCCGCTGGGTGGTCGCACCACGGGAACAGCGCGTCGAGTAGAACGTTCGCGACCAATCTCACGCCGAAGAACACGAAGCCAGCCAAGAGGAGATTGAGCGGGTATGCGATCATAGCCGGTGCGACCGCTGATCTTGCAAGAGAACGCCGTAGCCGTATCTGACGTTCTTGGGCGCTGTCTCGTGAGAACTGACTACTGATCACGTGACTTCCAAATTCCATCGATTGCATTGTGAAGCGCGCTGTGCAATAACGACATACCAAGCTTTCGAGAAAAAAAATGACTTACCTAAAACGTTTTCTAGACTGCTTGCCATATTACCGAAGCGTCAAAAAGAATGCTTGAAACGTAGGTACATGCGCTGCACGCGTTTGCCTTATCAGTACTAAATATTCGAAGCAAACAACCAAATTCAGGCGTTGATGAACGCGCGTGCGAAGTACCAATTGTTTTGGATTTTCACCTTAGAAAAGTCACTGCTGCAGAAGGCAGTACGCCCAGTGCGTGGAACTACACTCGTGAACGCTCCTTGAGCTTGAGTAATTTCACTGATCTCTACTATACTTCGTTTCACCTTATGCTGTACCGCAGCGAAGGCTAGAAGCGCGAGCTCATAGTGTTGGCACACGAGAGCTTGTGCCGCCGAGACGTGCCCCAGAGCAAGGAGCTCGCGCTTGTAGCCTTTGCTGTGGTACATCATTAGGTGAAATAGAGTATATAAGAGGCTGGATGTCGCATAGCTGCTATCAGAGCCTGGCGCAAGTGAAGCCACTGAAAGTTCGATGCGTGACCCTGAAGTAGGGCGTGTGCTGGGCTTCCTAGTGCATTCAGTCAATATTTTGGTGCATGCTTTTTTGTGTTTTAATATATCCGTTCTGAATGAAATAGCGAGAATAAGGCATTTGAACGTGTGACATACGCGCACTTGATTAACTAGAATCTCAAAATTTTAACATCGAATGGCTTCCCAGGTGTTGTGTATGCAGCAGATGGGGCAACTGTGAGCGATAGCAGCGCCATCCTCCAGTAGGCAGACGTGGAAGGACTCACTGTTCGCCATTCCGTTTTCTACCTCTTGGACTCTTGTACGCGGCCAAAGTCGGCCTTGTAAATAAACCCGTGTTATGCATACCTAACATTTGGCGACGACGTCACAGACCAACGGTAAGCGACGGCGGCCGTATGAAGAAGCAAAACAAGCGACGAGACTCCACACGAGGCAACGAGGGCGAGCGGCTGCGTAACGGCGGCGGCAGCGAGCAGAACGAGATGGCTTCGGAAGCTAAGCCTAGCGTTTCGAACGTCTTCATGGGTCGACTGGGCCACATGGAAGAGTTTTCGCCGGACCACCCGGAATCCTGGCCTGCGTACAAGGAACGCCTGGGGTTCTACTTCGCGGCGAACGGCGTGGTCGAAGAGCAGCAGCAGAGAGCAGTGCTGTGCAGCGTCTGCGGTCCGGCTACGTACGCTATCCTTCGCTCGCTGTGTTCGCCGGCGACGCCGGCAGAGACGCCGTACGCGGACATCGTTTCAAAGCTCACAAGCCACTTCACGCCAAGGCCTTCGGTAATCGTACAACGTTTCTCATTCCACAAACGAAGTCAGCAGCCTGGAGAGGACATCGCGGAATTCGTCGCGGACTTGCGCCAACTCTCCGAGCACTGCGAGTTCGGTGTCTTCCTGGAAGACATGCTCCGCGATCGTCTCGTCTGCGGCGTTAGGGACGAAGGGCTGCAACGGCGTCTCCTGGCCGAGAGTACGTTGGACTTCAAGAAAGCGTACGATAAGGCTGTCGCTGCCGAGTATGCCACGCGGCAAACGGAAAACATCAGAGGAGCGTTGCCTGCGGCGTCCGATTTACATCGGATAAACCAAGTGCCCAAGGATGCCAAGCCGGGCGGAAAACAATAACCCTCAAGAGAGCCAAAAGCGACAGGAACAAGGCGGTGTTTCCGCTGCAACGGCGACCACGACGCTACAAGCTGTGGATTCCGCAACGCAGAGTGTCATTTCTGCAAGCGGAAGGGGCACATCGTTCGAGCCTGCCGTCAAAAGGAACAGGCAAGGAGCAGGGCCAAGAGCGACCATAAACGCCCAGGCAAGTTGGGACGCTCAGGAGTGTACGGACTTTACCACATCGCCAGTGGACTGCCGGCTTTCGTGGCAACGGTCACTGTGAACGGACAGGAGGTATCGATGGAAGTGAACTCTGGATCCGTCTGTTCCATTTTCAACCTGAAGATGCTGAGCAAGCTCGGAATCTCGAGGAAGGCACTTCGACCGTGTTCCAGAGGAGTGCGAACCTACACACAGCAGCCTGTCCGGATCGTGGGTGAAGTTGTGGTTCTCCTTGGGGCCACTGCCTTTGGGAGTACCACGTTCACGGCGAGACGCTCTACCGCGAAGCGCGTTCGCACTCGCGTGGCATGCTGCTCGTCGAGCGCAATGAGACACCAGTCACGTTGGTAACGGTGATAAACTGTTTATTTACAATGAAACAAGATAACAACAACACAGCGGCTATAAGCTGGTGAACGCCGTCGGTGTGGAGATCGCCCACGGCCGAACGGTCGTTCACAAATGTACAAAGGACGGGGTAAACGCTCACCGGTGCGCCGGAAGGTTCCCCGTTGTTGCCGCCGCCGAATCCCAGAAAGAAGACCCCAGCGAGACTGCTGTCCGCTGGTTTTAAGATAACAGCGGGGGCGAAGTGGCCAATGAAGGAGCGACACGTCGATCTCCTTTGTGCGGGGGTTCGTTGCGGAAACCTCCCCAAGGGGGGAGAGGAGGAAGCCACTCACAGTGGTAAGCAGCGCCACCTCTCGCTACGCCAGCGCGGCCGCCACGGCGCGCCAAAACGCTGATGCAACAGAATGTTGAGGGATCACAATCCCCACAAAGTGGAAGTACTTGTCAAGTACAACGGTAGAGAGTGCAAGCTACCTCTACTCGTCACAAAAGGATCTGGAATCAGCATCCTGGGGAGAGACTGGTTTCGACCGTTATGCATATCCCTGGAAGGACTGCACCAGCTCAACGGAGCTCCAGTTTCCAAGAGTTCCAGCGGAGAAGGCCAGCCAGCCGTACGCAACGTGGTGACGAGTGTCAAAACTCTGCTGGAGGACTACCCAAATGTGTTCAAGCTTGGGTTAGGGAAGAGCACAGGTCCTCTGGTGCGGATTGAAGTGGAGGAGCAAGCCACACCCAAGTTCCACAAGTCGCGGCAAGTACCTTTCGCTCTTCTGCCGAAAGTGGACGAGACCATCGAGAAGTTAGTGGAGCAAGGGATTTATGTTCCGGTCAAGCACTCTCGTTGGGCGACGCCTATTGTTCCGATTCTAAAGAAGAATGGAAAGATGAGGATTTGCAGAGACTACAAGGGAACGCTCAACCCAGTCATCAAGTGGGAGACTTACCCACTGCCCACTCCAGAGCAACTGCTCGCAAGACTGGGAGGTTGCTCGGTGTTTTCCCGGCTTGACTTGGATCAAGCCTACCAACAGCTCTGTGTCGACGAGGACACCGCCATGCTGCAGACCGTGACAACACACAAGGGCCTGTTCAAGGTGACGCGATTGCAGTTTGGTGTGGCAGTGGCAGTAGCCATCTTCCAACGTTACATGGAAGGAGTACTAAACGGACTCGAGGGAGTTCAGTGTTTCTTGGATGACATCCTCATTGGTGGAAGAACAGTCGCCGAGCACGACGAACGGTTGCGTAAGGTGCTGCAGCGTATCCAAGACGATGGGCTTCATCTGAATGCCGACAAGTGTGCATTCAGGGACAAGGAAGTGACGTACCTGGGGTACCGTATCAACAAGGACGGAGTAAGCCCTTTGGTTGAAAAAGTTGAAGCGATCAAGCAAGCTCCGGAACCAGTGAACAAGAAGGGGCTACAGTCGTTCTTGGGAGCCTTAAATTTCTATGGCCGTTTCCTGAAGGGAGCTTCACATGTGTTGGAGCCACTTTACCGCCTCCTGCAGTGGACAAGGACAAGGCATGGATTTGGACAAAGACTGAAGCAAAGGTGTACCAGAGTGCCAAGAGCCTGCTGGAATCATCAGCCGTCTTAGCACACTATGATGTGTCACGTCCCATAAGGCTGGCCTGTGACGCGTCTCCGTGCGGGCTGGGTGCTGTACTGAGCCAAGTGGGAGAAGACGGCGTTGAAAGACCAGTGGCCTTTGCCTCGAGAACTTTGTCAAAAGCAGAACGTAACTATGCGCAGATAGACCGGGAGGCTCTGGCTTTGTTATTTGGTGTTCGGAAATCCCACCAGTACGTTTTTGGTCGGAAGTTTCAACTCTTGACAGACCATAAGCCGTTGCTGGGCCTCTTGCACGAGGCCAAGCCTGTTCCTGCCGTGTTGTCACCTCGGATGTTGCGCTGGAGTCTGCAACTTTCTGCATACAACTACAAACTGTTGTACTATCGGGGAAAAATGAAATGCGAACAGAGGAACGCGTGGCTCCCGGTACAGGCTGCGCCGCCTGGAAGTGAACCTAGGGGCGAGGGTGCGGGGCCTACTTCGATGTGTTCACGCCCCTCGATTGGCGCTCCCCCAGCTTCGGCAGTGCGCCTCTCAGTGCGCTGAAAGCTGTCACCGCTATCTTTGCCTGCTCGGAGAGTGCGGCGAGCTTCTTTGCACCGCACGCGCTGAGCCAGCAAAGATGGCGGTGATAGCTTTCAGCGCACTTAGTGGCGCACTGCTGAAGCTTGGGGAGCGGAGAGGGAGGGGCGTAAACACGTCGGAGTAGGCCACGCATCCTCGCTCCTAGGCTCACTTCCAGGCGGCGCAGCCTGTACCACGAGCCACGCGCTCCTCTGTTCGCATTTCATTTTTCCCCGATAGTACGTACCTGGCTACAAGCTGCCACATGCCGACGATTTCAGTAGTCTTCCGCTTTCTGTCAAGAATGAGCTTGAGCCACCGTTGGGAGACATCTTGCTGCTGGAGGCAGCGCCGGAGGTTCCTCTAGATTCTACCAAGATCGCAGCATTAACACGGATTGACCCGGCTCTGTCGCGTGTGCACCGCTGGATTTTGCAAGGCTGGCCTTCAGGGAAGCTGCCAGAAGAATTCCGCCCCTTTGTGGCCAGGAAGAACGCACTG